ACCAATTCGATGTCACCTATCGACGCGGGCGCCAGAACATTGTTGGGGATGCACTTTCTCGGCAGCCTTTGGAAGTACTGCAGATGATCCAGGAGGATAAGCCGGAAGGTACATGGTACCAGCGGATGCTGAAGCTTGTTCAGGACAGGCCTGAGGATTACCCGGACTACGCGTACGAGAACCAACAGCTGTATCGACACATCGGATCTCGACCTAATGACGAAGACTCTGTGCCATGGAAACTGTGTGTGGCCAAGGAACAATGTTCACCAGGCAGGTTAGCGAGCCATTCGATACTGTCTGCGCCGATTTTATTGGGCCTCTTCCACGATCCAAAAGTGGGAATACAATGTTGCTCGTGTTTTTCGATGCTTTCTCGAAATGGGTCGAGTATGTTCTATTGAGAAAAGCCACCTCAGCACACCTAGAAAAGTCCTTTAGGGAGAGGATTTTAAACCACTTCGGGGTCCCTCGCACTTTTGTCTGTGACAATGGGACACAGTTTACGAGTCGTTCCTTCAAAGCCTTCTGTAAACAGGCGGGAATGGAGATCCAGTATACAGCGCCCTATACCCCGCAGCAGAACCCGACAGAGAGGGCCAATCGAACCATTAAAACAATGGTCGCCCAATATATCGAAGACAAGCAGACGACTTGGGACGAACTCCTGCCCGAATTGAACCTGGCGATAAATAGCAGCATCTCAGACTCAACCGGATTCAGTCCGGCGTTCATCGTCCAAGGCCGAGAGCTACGACTCCCAGGGGCCTTGTGTGATGAAGTGACTCCAGGGCCAAGCCAAGCGCCACGTTCACCGGAAGCGAAAGCGGAATTGCTCCGGGATATCTTCAAGGTGGTTCGGGAGAACACTCAGCGAGCGTCATTGGAACAACGTTAACAGGCGGCGCGCATGGAGACCAACCATAGGATCGCTGGTCTTTGTAAATCAGCATCACTTGTCCAAGGCGGCGGATAACTGTGCCGCCGAGCTAGCTCCCAAGTATGAAGGCCCATACAAAGTAATAAAATTCTTTTCTCCCACTATAGTGCGCTTGCAACATATCTATAGCCGACAACGCAGAACAGCATCCCTCGGAGATATGAAGGGAAGAAGTCAACAAGCCAGAAACTCTGAATCTGGTACCCAGCCGACTGGACCACCCAGAAGACACGCAGACGACGGAGCAAGTTTAGCGATCGAGTGATGCTAAATCCACGAGCAGAGTAGCAGCAGCAGCAGAGACACAGCGGCCACGGATACCCGCGACATCGGCGGAAGCTACGAAGAAAACCAGCACGGAAAGATGCCGCATCAGGACGATAGCAACAGAAGACAAGGATACCCGGGGACAGCGGAGGAACACACGACGATAGCAGCACAGCAGCAGCTCCAGAAGTCCGTATGAATACGTAGCAGCGAACCTGTAGCAGTAGCAGCGAACCTGCTCAAAAAGAAGCCGGCGAGCGACGCTCGATCTGGCCAAAGCTGAGCCATCTTGAAACACTGCGACAGGAGCCAATGTTTGAGTCAATGGGGCCACTTGCTGGAGGGTGCGCCTTCCCAACGTCCCACTCCCCTAGTGGGAACTCAACGCCACCGCAGCGAACCTTTTGCCCTGATTACTAACTGCCCAATAGTCCCCCCTACAGAAATGGCGTCGAACAACCCGGCCCATCTCCAGCGCGTGGTGACGCAAGCCCCGGTCACCCTCGGCGTCTCGGACACGGAGGGAGTCGTCATCGACTATCTAGCCGAGAAGGACGGCGACCAACGTGCGGTGACCTCGCGAGACGCAGGCGCAGCCGCACCTCAGTCCCAACGCGACGAGGAAGACGAAGCGGCCTACTGGGACGCCTTCAACGAGGCCATGGCACGGTTCAGCGAGGACCTGTCGTTCGAGTGGAAGCCTGCCTCCGGCCTGGGCCAAGCGGCCAGACACGCCGGGACAGTAGCGGGGGTACCCAGCCGGGTGCCAGCCGCCCGTCGTCGGGTGACATTTGGGTCGGTCGTAGAGATACCCATACCTCCACGCGGCAGCTCGAATGCCGGCAGCAGCGAGGATGTCAATTTGGCCGCAGGCCCCAGCAGAGAGGAATTCAAGCTGGCCACCACAGGCCCCAGCAGCAGCAAGGACAGCGATTTGGCCGCCGTAGGCCCCGACAGCAGCGGAGAATACGGCGATTTGGCCACCACCGGCCTCGACAGCGGAAGGGACGACGACCTTAGCCAGGAGGAGGACGACTCGGACGCCGCAGGACCCAGAAACATCGAGGACTTTGACGCGGCCGAGGTAGCCCGAGCCAGCCTCGGCGACCCATTCGCAAAATGTGCGCGTCCGGAAGCCGAAGGTGGGCCGCGATGACCCCAACTCGGGCAAGCTCAAGCCCGACCCCTGAGTACTCCAATGGGAGAAAGACCTTCGAGCCAAGGCCCATCGAGAGCGAGCCCAGCGGATGAAGGGCCGTACTGCACCAGGGCCGACCGAGGCACAGCCTGCAGCCCCAGCCGCCAAAGAGGAGAAGCGCGCGGAGTATCCAACAGCCGACGAGGACTGGGTCCTGCCGCCCCGACATCTGGAACATCTGGGTCCCGGGAGGACGCATTCCTCGATCCGTGGTCGAGCTGGTGAAACCGCAGGAGGCCACGAACAGGCGGGTCAATCGCAAATTCCTCTTCCACGCGGGCGCCGAGGAATTCCGGGTCCATTTCTGCAAGGCGAGCCGGGTCACCGTTTCTCAACGCACCCCGAAGTAAGGGGAGAATGTGAGGAGTCGTTTGACTCCCCACAAATACTGGCAGCCAACAACAACGGCAACAACGCCAGCAGCCGCGTCATCAGCAACAACAACAGTGACGACGGCCACAACAACGGCCGCCCGCGCCGTCAACAACGCCAGCAGCCGCGTCATCAACAAGAACAACAGTGACGACGGCAACAACACCGGCAAACAGCTCGCGCCAGCAGCCAACAACAACGGTTCTCTTCCTATTGAATTCTGGCCAGCATAGTTTCGATCTTCTGTGCTCTGCCTTCGTCGACCATTCCTTGCTGGCTAGTTGTTTGAAATGGTCATGAATTTCCGTCTGGACTGAGTTCAGGGAGATCTGTATGTCTGTTGTTGCTGAGTGTTCTTCTGACCCTTTTCAGCTCGTCTGCTTTCTCGTTTCCGTCTATGTCATTGTGTCCGGGTACCCAGGCTATTTGTACCCTGTTGTCTTCTGCTAGTCTGTTTAGTGCCCCTTTACATTTGGCCACTAGTTTTGAAGTCGTCCGTGCTTGTGCGAGGGATTTGATCGCCGCCTGGCTGTCTGAGTATATCCTCACCTTGGTATTCCGGAGGCCTCGGTCTAGCGAAAGTTCGACAGCTTTCAGTATCGCGAGAACCTCCGCCTGGAAAACCGTCGCTGACTCTGGGAGGTGGAAGTATTCCTCCACCTTCCAGCTCTCGGCGTAAATTCCGGCCCCCTACTCCGCCGCTCATCTTTGAGCCGTCGGTGTAGAGTGATACTTCGTCCGGTTCGGTTACTCTCCCTCTCTTCCAGTCTTCCCTTGTAGGGTATATAGTGGTTTATGTGTTACCGAATCGCAGTTCGGTTGTCATGTAGTCTGTGTCTACTGTCGTCCGATAGTTTATCTCGTTCAGAATCCTGCAGTGCCCGGTGTGGTAGTCTTTCCAGCTTTGACTAGCCTTAAGTCGTACCGCACCTTGTGCTGCAGTGTTCCTGATGAAATGCTCTATCGGTATTATGTTCAGGATGGCGTTCAGCGTCGCCGCGGGGCATGATCTCAGTGCTCCTGTGGCTCCCTGCGCATGCCGATCTCTGTATCCTTGTTAGTTTCTGTACGTTGTATGGCCTAGTTAATGCTGGCCACCATACTAGTGCTCCGTATGTGAGTATGGGTCTTACCACCGCTGTGTAAAGCCATATTATTATCCTGGGGTGGATGCCCCAGTTCTTTCCGAACATCTTCCTGCAGGAATAGAATGCTATGCTTGCTTTCTTGACTCTCTCGTTGATGTTTTGTTTCCATGACAGTTTCGCATCCAGTATCACTCCCAGATACTTTGCCTGCTGTGATATCTCTAGTTCTATGCCATCTATCTTTGGCTTTGTGAAGCTAGGGACCTTAGTTCTCCTAGTGAAGAGCATTAGTTCCGTTTTCCAGGATAATGACTCAGTCGGCCCAGGAGTCCTCTACCGAAAATATTTATAATTTTGCGGAGACAGCCAGGAGAAAGGACGGGCCCGGAGGCCGGTATGTTTTTTTTGGGTGCAAAAAGGGGCAGGCGATGGTCAGGAAGACCCCGACATCCGGTCCCGCAAGCCGAGATCCAGTTTCCCGATATGTCCGAACAAAACGGGGTCCGAGTGAGGTGGGGAATCGTCCGGAATCGGAGGAGACCGGTCCCGCAAGCCGAGATCCAGTTTCCCAATATGTCCGAACAAAACGGGGTCCGAGTGAGGGCTTCCGGCCACGCAAAACCATGTGCCGGTCGCCCTGAGTGTCGGGAAGAAGGGCTCCAAAACGGAGAGACGGTCCCGCAGGCCGAGTACCGCTTCGCCGCCTTGGCAGAGATAATGTGGATGCCTAACCAGGCAGAAGGCCGATCCCGCATGCCGGGGTACCGGCCCCTCCTCTAAGGAAGGAGAAGCGAAGGGATGCCGACCACGCTGGCCATGTGCCGGTGGCCCTTGCTCTCCAGAAATCATGGGGCGCCAAGAGGGTAAATAATATTCCGCCGTTGGGTTCGATTATATGTCCAGAGTTTATTTTACAAATGTTGGCAAACCTAGCTGTTCCCTAAACTAGTGTTCCCTATCAACCTAAACGCTTTCCCTTTGCAGCTCACCAATGTTCACTCCGGCCTTTTATTCCGATGTACTCCAGCCCCGGGTCTGGCCCTAATTGGCCAGCTCGTACCTACTATTCTCCTCCATGCTTTGGAATGGAAATGATCTCAAACCCTACAAAACTGCCCCTGGTTGTGAGGCCTCCTCACAGTCCATCCCTACCTCGGGGATGGGGAAGGATGGTGATGCGGTCTCCGCCGCGTGAAATCTGGACGCGGTATGTCATGTCGCCCACCTCTACCAAGAACCGCAGGTATTTGGTGACCGGCTGCCGGAGGCGCGCCTGTACCTGCGCGATGAGCTCGGCGGGGAGCCATCCGTCCTGCGTTGTCCAGCCTGCTGGAGCGCGCACCCAGTTCTCCGGCTCGGGCTCGGGTTCGGGAGTCCGTCGATGCCTCCTCCTCCGAGCTTGGCTCTTCCTTGGGCCAAGGGGCGCGGCGTTGACGGCCTGCATTGCGCAGGATGCCGGGGCGGTCGTCGGTGGGCGCGTCCGGGTCGCGGTCTGCAGGGGCGCGGCGAAAACGCCAGCGGTACTCGTCCGTGGCGGGCAGTGGCCGTACCCGCTGGATCGGCCGGGAGGTGGCCACGGTGTAGCCAGCGGTGACTCTATCAGCGTCCCCTCGGCGGAGGTACGCGGGTTGGGGCTGCCTGCAGCAGCCTCTCGGCGGCTCGGCTGGCTCATCGGCCGGCGGCAGCGGACGTTGTGGGCCCCTCTGGAGAGGCCAGTAGCTCCGCCAAGAGTGCCAGGCACGGGCGTCAGGTTGCCCCGAGCGAGGGGGGTGTCCTTGGTACGGTGGTACGGTACCCGGGGTGTTGACGGCGGTACCGGCGTCGGCGTTGATGGCGGGGTCAGGGCGAGTGGTGGGGGCCGTGTAGTTGCCCTGGCCAGTCGTGACCCTGATGATGTGGTTGCCGTGGCTGCTGCCCCCAGCCCTGGTAAGGGTGGTGTCCAGGGTGACGGCAGGCGGTCCACCGGCAGCGATTCCGGTGACTCTCGCGTCCCCAAGGGGCGTCGCGTTGGTGGTCCCGGTGGCTGCTGCCGCGGCCGGTGATGCGCCCATGGGGCGGGCAATGTTCCCGTTGGGATTGTCCCGTGGGTTGACCGTGGTCTCCCCGGCGTTGTCCTCCTCGTCGGAGATGATGATGGCGTCCTGCGCTGGGTCCGGCTCCTCATCTTCCCCGGAGCTTAGCTCCATGATCTCCTCCTCGGAGATGTCTTCGTAGACCGCTCCCAGGGTTCCGGGAACGGCTACGGGCGTATTCCGGCGGCCATCGGCTCGACAGTCGGCGAGGCGGCCGGGACGTCGGAGGCCAAGGTGATGGCTATTGGCCCGTTGTTGGCCGAGTCAGCCATCAGCTCCTCTGAGGAGGGGACGGTCGGGGGGCTCAGCGGCGGTTACGGGCCAACGGCGGCCGGGACGTCGGAGGCCAAAGTGATGACCATGAGCCCGTTGTTGGCGAGAGGGACGGCCAGGTCGCCGATTCTTAGCGCGGCCATCGACTCATCGGGAGCCCCGGTGGCAGGCGGACTTGGGTTTCTGCCCCGTCCGGGCAGCGTCGCCTCTGCCTGGAAGTCGCCCAGGCAGAACGGTGTCGGGGCCTCGTCTTCGGCCAGGATCGCGGCCATCATATCCTCTAAGGATAATCCCTCGCACCAGGTCGGGCTGATCCTCGGCGAGGATGGGGACCCCGTGGCGGCTTCCACCAGCGGCGTTGGCTCCAGCAGGACGACAGCGGGTGGTTCCGTGCTGATCGTCGTAGCTGGCTGGATCGGCAGATCCACTGCGGCTAGCAGCGGTGTCCCGTCATCGCCGATGTTGATTTGCTGACGGATTGGGGCCAACGGCGGTGGTGACCCAGCACTGGTCGGCTTTGCAGCCGGGCGGGATCGCTGACCAGTGGCTGCCGGCGGCGGTGGTGCGATCTGGGCGTCCATCGCTGGGTGAGGTCGCCGTTGGATGGGCGTCAGTGGTGGTGGCGACTCGGGGTGGTCGCGGTCCGACGGAGCGGTAGGCTGGCTGACGGTCCATTCTCGATCTCTGTTGAGTATGATGACACTTTTGCTGGTCTCTTTGCGTGGCATCCTCGAAACGCTTGTGCGTTTGAAAACTCCCACGCCACCACTTGTAGCCTAACGGACGGCGAGGGCGGTATCGAATAATCGATATCTCGTGCGGCGTGGTTATCGTTCGGCGGTTAATCTTTCCGACGATCTGGCAACTCTCTTTGCGTGTAGGTGAACTCCGGATGGCTGTGGAGAGTAGAGAAAGATGTATTAGTTTTCTTCCCCTGGACCCGGTGATTTTCCCCAGTGGATTCCTAGGCTATTCTCCTGTGCTCAGGGGGTGTCTTGAACGGAGATGATTCGGAGGAGAGCGGCCAGGGTGCGTTTCCCCCTGCGGGGGTATGGGGACGTTGGACGAGCGCACTCATCAGCAAGTGGCCCCCACGATACCCTGGTCCTTTTTGGCCGTGGCGTCGTCGTCGTGGTCATCATCTTGCCTGGTGCGTCCATCCGTCTGTGCTGGGTCGTCGCTCTGGCCGTTTTCGTCGTCGTCGTTGTCGCTGTCTTGGTGGTATGGCTTCAGGTTCTGAATGCAGGCGGTGCGTCGGCGGCGGCTCCCCGGGATCTGTAGCCGTGCTATATTCGGAGAGGGGAACTTGATGACCCGGAATGGCCCCTCGTATTTGGATGCCAACTTGGCGGCAAAGCCTTCGGCGGCGTTTGACAAAACATGGCGGCGCTCGAGGACTAGGGATCCGAGTGGTGGTCTCCACTCGCGTCGGCGCAGGTTGTTCTGCGTTTTCCCGGGCGACCTGAAAGATGCTGTGGAGCTGCGTACTCCTCTCCGTTGGCTAAAGTTGAGCCGTCCCTCTTCCTGGTTTGACTTCGCGTAAAGGGTGTTCGGCAGGCGTGGTTCCCGGCCCTGTACGAGAAAGGCGGGGTGAATCCGTAGTATCCGATACGCTGCTGTTAATTGCCAGAGAGATCTCTGGCAGAAGATGGTCCCAGGCACTCTGCGGCGAGTCTCCGAGGTATTGTGCGATCATAGTCTTCACGGTCCGATTTGCCCTCTCCGTGGGATTTTGCCGCGGCGTGTAAGGCGCGGTATGTTGCAATTCCATTCCCAGGGAACTGCAAAAAGCTTGAAAGGCCCGGCTGGTGAATTGTGTTCCATTATCCATTATCGCAAACGAGAGTCCTTGGGATCCCAAACCGGCTGAGTATCCGCTCCCGAAATGCTCGCTCGAGGTACGGCACCGTTGCGCGGCGTAAGGATGAGTTCCACCCATTTACTGAAAATATCAAAAAAACGAGGAGCACCGTGTTCCTTGCTTAGATCGTGGCAGGGGTCCCACGAAGTCGGCGCACAGCTCTCGTTTTAGGAACTTTTCCACCCAGGGTTCTGGGTAGTTCCGTCCTGGCCGCTGGGGCTTGTTCCTCCTCGGTGCTGCATCTGGCGTTGGTCATTACGCAAGATGGTGTGCTCGCTCGTGGATGATTCTGTTGCCCGGAACCGAATTCTCTTGCCCGTTTGGCGAAAGGGGTTCCGGCGGACAGCAGATGCGTCGGGGTGTGGCAGGATTCCTGCCCAGCGGAGGTGCCCGCGTCTGCGTGGGCGTGGCGTCGGGCGAGCGTGTGTGCAGCCATGCGATGTCTGGGCGGGTGTTCTTGTGGAGGGTCTTCCTGCTGTGTATCTGGCGGTAGCTCGGGTGGCGATGTGGGCTGCGGCTTCGGATACACCCTGGCGGTGGCTCCTGCCGTTTCCCTCTGCGTCGTGTGCTCGGGGTTGTGTGCTCTGGCGACGGTGTCTGTGGGGTGTGTATCCATGTTGTTGCTCCGTGGTAATGTGGTTGCGCACTCGCTGAGTGCCGAGTCTGCTGCGCTGGTCTCCGTGGCTCTGGGTTGAATGGGTGGCTGGAGCTTGAGGGTTTGGCCGCCGCACTGTAGTGTAGCCCCGCTGTAGCATAGAAAGTCTATGCCGAGTAGGAGGCCATCCAGCACATCTGCCATGATGAGAACAGAGATGCGGACGCGGGTCTCTCCCAGCTGGATCGTGGTTCGTAGAGCATGCGTGAGCTCCCTGTCGGTTCCGTCTGCTAATTTTACTTGTGTCCGTACTGCGCGATGATTCCTCCCGTCGTCCAGCTCTTGTGCCAGGCGCCTGCTTATGAAGCTGTGAGAGGCTCCCGTATCCAACGTCGCGGTGAAGGGTCGTCCCTCCATGGTGACTTGGGCGCGAATACGGCTGTGGTCTTGGATGATGGCGTTGTTTATTGGCTCGGGGAGGTCGGTGGGTTCCTCGAGTGACTCCCGGATACTCGAGGCCCTTGCCCGTTTACCGGCGCTTGGTTCCGACAGCAGTCGATGGTCCTTACACCTGGTTGGCCGCAGTCCCAGCAGAAGATAATCCTAGGGCTCCTGCATTCCGTGGCGTAGTGACCGGCCTGGCCTTAGTTTCGACAGGCGGTTCTCACATCGATTGGTTCCCTTGTTGCTCGGCCTCCCTGGCCCTGGCTTCCCATTCGGGTTCGGGTGGCAGTGTCGTTGGAGGCACGAGGACGTGGCATCGGCGGCGTGGTACGTGCGTAGGGCGGATTCTCTCGGGTTTGCTGAGCCTGGGTACTGAATAGGCCCTCTGCGTCCCGTCGGTTCGGTGGGTATCCCCGAGGGGTTCGCTCCCCTCGGCTCCTGGCGACTTCGAAGTTCACCACCAGGTGAGTGAGCTCGGTCAAGGTCCTGAAATTCTGGCGACTTGTAAACATCTGGTATTCTGGCAGCATGTTCTCATATATCCGTTCAAGCTCTTGCTCGGGTGAGAACCCTGCGCGGCGCATCTTTAGGCGAAGATCGACGAGGTATTGCTTAAACGGCTCGTTCGGCTTCTGGTAGTGGGCTCGGATTTCGTCGTCAAGGCGTTGATAGTACCTAGGCGGTAGAAAGAAATCCAGGAACTCTCGGCGCACTTGTGCCCAGGTTCCCCCTGCAGGGCCCTGGTGCGAAACCAGCTCTCCGCTCTGCCGGATAGAAGCACGACGATGGCGTTGGATAAATATTTCCTATCGATCCGGTACGTGTCTGCTCGTTCCTCGATTAGTTCCACGAAGCTGAGCGGGTCCGAGGTGCCATCGAAGGACAGCCCCCATTTGGTCATCTTGTCCACCAGCATGGAGCTGGGGTTCACGTCGAACTGGGAGGTCCCACCGCGTGGAGATCCCTCGGATTTCCCGCGTGATACTGGTGCTGGCGACGTGCTGCGTGGCACTGCTAAAGTATGATTCGTGGCCTGAACGGGTGGGGCAAAGGTTCCGGCAAATGCGTCCTGAGGCTTGCGGCAATGGTGACTTCGGCTTTATGTCTCCCGTCGGGGAGTTTCCGTAGCGTAGCTCCATCTCGTCGAGTCGAACCTGAACTGCGTCGGGGAGCTCGGGTTGCATCGCGAAAGCAATGAGTCGCGCCCGCTGCTCTTTAACCGTATTGGCGCGTTCTAAGCCAAACTCGAACAGGATGGCGTCGAGTTCGTGCTTCTTTCGGTAGGATATCCAGGTGACACCCATTTTACCGGCGGTTGAATCTCCGCGGCGTATGCTACCGGTCGCGAAATCTGTCGTAGCGTAAACGACGATATCTGGATACGTGGCATAGGCGGCTCGCCAATTGTTCGCGGCACGGCTGGTGCTAGGATTGTAGTTCGACGCGTGTCCTGGCAGCGATCGCGAAGGAAGATCGGGAAGTCCGGTCGCGTATCGAGATCGAAGGTGCGGGAAGGGAAGCGTATCCCTGAAGCGCGGAGATGCACGGCCGAGGTCCTTGAGTGGCTTGGTTTAGCCTCGTAGCGATGGTTGAGGGTCCTGAACCCTGATCCTGGAGCGTATTCCTGTTTTAGTACCCTGCTGATGATGCTCAAGGACCCTTAAGGTATCCTTGGAGTCGAGTGGGGGTCCTGGCGTATGTCCTTGAAGGATCCCTGGAGTATCCTGTTGGTATGTCCTGGCAGGATGCTGGCGTTGTCCTTTGCTATGTCCTTGCAGGATGCTGGCGTTGTTCTTTGCTATGTCCTTGCAGGATGCTGGCGTTGTCCTTCGTAGCGTTGATTTAATTTTCTGGATTTTAGCTCTCGTAGCGTGGGTGATCGACTGATCTCGATGGCGTGGCAGCGAAGACTTATATCGTTGAAGGGTCGGCTGGCTTCGGGCTTCCTGCGGGTAAAAGAAACCCTTCGTGCGGCGGGATAGGAAGGCTAGTTTTCTGCTCTCGTGGACGCCGGCTGCGGCGTCGACGACGTGTTGTACTCCGCTTCGGCGGGTCTCTCTGTGGACATGTGTTTGGCTTTTCTCTCGTGTGTACTCGTCTGACGTCGTGGAATCGTGGTCTCGGCTTTGCGTCGTGTACTTTGCGTCGTGTGCTTTGGTCGGTTCCTAGCGTGTGGTTCGTATTCATGTTCGTCAGGCGTCGTAAAATTTCTTCGTGGCTTGTTCGTCTGGCTTCGTTAAAATTTTCTTCCACGTGGCTTTGCGTCCGACTGTACTTTTATGGCGGCGGCTTTGTCTGCTGTTGCTATGCGGCATTTTTTTTTTCTAAATTCTCGCTCTTTTTTTTTTCTATGCTTCTCTTCTACTCTTTCCGCTTCGGTCTATGCGGCCTAGCAACAGAAATGTTTTTTTCTAAGTTTTCGAACCTAACCTCGACTTTTCGACCTGAATTTTTTTCTGGTGGTGCTTTAAGCCACGTTAGATGGAATTATCCTTGAATTATCCTGCCAAGTCCCTGCTCGGGCGCCATTCTGTAAGGATGCTATGGCCAGGATAATGACTCAGTCGGCCCAGGAGTCCTCTACAGAAAATATTTATAATTTTACGGAGACAGGCAGGAGAAAGGACGGGCCCGAAGGCCGGTATGTTTATTTGGGTGCAAAAAGGGGCAGGCGATGGTCAGGAAAACCCCGAAATCCGGGCAACCGGCTCCGCAAGCCGTAGTCCAATTGCCAGATCCGGGACGAAGGCGCATCTTCCGAAGTCGGACCGATCCCGCAAAGGCGGGGTACCGGTGTTCCCTGATCTCCGAATGAGCGGCCCGAAGTG